TCACTGCACCATGTTGCTTCACAATCTTCATCTTGTATGTACTGAAAAACAAAGCTTCAAAAATATATAGCACAAGTCATCAGATGTTCGAGGAACTGCTACCATTTGCAATTATTTCTGTAATTGAGACATTAATCAGACAAAAGATAAGAAAATATAAATAGCTGAATGCTGCAATTAACAAGCTTGATCCAATACCTAGAAAATACAACTTTTCCCAAGAATACATCAAACATTTACAGAAACTGTCCATGTACTTGGTAAGTCTTTAAGCAAGTCTCATACCTTCAGAGTTAGTGTCAGACCATACCATTCGATAATGTAATTACATTAGAAATTAACACCAAATCAACTTTAATAAATAAAACCTATTTATTTAGACACAAAACAACTCTTGAATCAAAGAATAAACACTGGACACTAAATATTTAGAACTTGATGAGGAACATCTACTTACGAAAACTTGTGGGATATACCTAAAGCAGGAGGTATAGGTAACTATACCAGACCCAGAATGATTTACAGGAGAGTTCTACCAGTCAATGAATAGATATTTCCAATTTTACACAGAATCCTAGAGAATAGAGAAAACACTCTACAACTCATTTCTTGTGATTACTATAACGCTAGTAATACCAAAATCTGATGAAGACTATACAAGAAAGAAAAATTACAGGGCAATCTCACTCATGAACATGAACATAAAAGTCCTGAACAAAACAATACCAAAACAAACCCAGGAATACAGAATTAAAGATAATATATCATAACCAAGTTGTGTTTCTCCCAGGAATGTGAGTGTGGTTCAACATGGAAAAATATATTCATTCCAATCATGTCAAGGCAAAAAGATGCACCTGATCAAATTCCATAACCACTCAGTTAAAATTCTTATCAAACTAGTCACTGAAGGGAAAGTCCTTAACCTAAGAATTAGAACTTTTAAGTTGTGAAGAACTTCGAGGAGAGGTCCTTAAAAGGAGCTGAGTCCCACAAAGGTAGACCTTTTTGTCTGCCCACTTCTTTGTTGCCTGGAACGGGGGCTTGGCTCTTGCCACCTACCCGGGTCTGTCAAGTGACCTTAAGGATGGAACCAGATACTGAGCATAGAAGATGAGGAAGGTAAGAACCCAAGTCCTTAATGTCTTCGGGGCACCACCACACAGCTGCGTGCTGATTGCACGCCTCTGGACTCCCATCGCCCTGTGAAACTAAGCTTTTGTGTACTGAAGACACTTACTTATGCATTCAAACCCCGTCTTAACTGAAACACCGTTTCTATTCAAAATGGTTCTAGAAGCCCTAACCTGGACAAAAGGCAAGAAAAATAAAATATGTAAGAATTGTTAAAACAAGACCATAATTATTCACATATGAATAGAAAACCCAAAAGAATTTTATAGAAAATTACTAGAAATAAGTTAGCAGGACAGCCTGAAAAAAAGTCAGATGCATTTCTACATACCAGCAATGATCAATTAAAAATCTTTAACTTTTTAAAAGACCATTTATAATAGCAACCAAGACAAGGTACTTAGGAATAAAGCTAATCTAACAGTCAAAACTCTTATGTAGAAAATTATGAAACTTTTTGAAAGATTTTAAGAGGACCAAAATTGCTCAAGGATAGTAAAAGTTGTTTAAATTAAGATGTTACATCTCCTAAAATCAATCCAAGGGTTCAATATAATTGTGATCAAATTCCAATATAGTGGGAACTGTTTCCAGGGAACTTGGCAAGCTAAACTTTACATGGAGCAGCAAAGAGCCAAGAAAATCCAAGATATTCCTAAAGAACACAGCAAGGTAGAAGGCCTTGCCCCACCAGACATCAAAAGTTATCATAAGGCCACAGTTTTTAAGAGAGTGGGCACTGCTGCAGGGACAGAAAAATAGACTGATGGAATGGAACTGAGAGACCAGGAACAGACCCACACGTCTAATGTAAACTTAAGATGGCACTGAAGATCAGAAAGATGGCAAAAGGTGATATAATCAATGATGCTGGGATAATTGAAAAGAAAAGAAAACAAAACAAAACAAAGAAATTGGATACCTATCTGACAACATATGCAGTTCTAAATGATGGAATACTTTCAAATATGAAAGACAAAACTATCAAAATTTTTTAAAATATAGAATATCTTTAACAGCGTGTTTTAAGAAAGGATTCTTAAATGAAATTTTTAATTGACTTTTTCAACTACATTAAACTTAAGGGGAAAACAATTTAACAACGTTAAAAGTAGGAGCTCTCTCCAATGAAAGAATAGAAAGATGGGCCAAACACTGGGAAATGTAGTATAACTATCCAGTTTTTAACACCAAAAATTCTCAAAAACCAGTAAGAAAATTAAAATCAGCAAGAAACAAAAATGGTAAATATAAAGGCCAATAAATATTTGAAAAGTTGTTCAACCTTATTAGTAATCAGGGACAGCAAATTAAGACCACAACATGAAACCACTTCATATCTGTCAGATTAGGGGAAAGAATTTTAAGAGTTGCCAAAAACGTGGATCGCCTGGAACTCTCCTACACTCCTGACAGGAGGATAAACTGGTACTACTACTCTAGGAAAATATTTGGTTTTACTAGTAAAGCTGAAGATGCACACCGTATGTTCCAGCAATTCTCCTGCTGTACCTTTACACAAGTGCACCAGCAAATAGATACAAGAATATTCATAGTAGCCCGGTATGCAATTTAAGAAACCTGCCAAACAATCAAAATGTCAGTCAATAACAAAGTGAAACAGCAGAGTGAGAAGAATGAACTCCACCTTCATGTGATAACGTGAATTAATCTCAAAAACGAGCAAAACAAGTCAGATTTGTATAGCATGATTCCGTTTACTGAAAGGTCAAAATTGGCAAAATTAAACAACACACCATTGGGAATGGTTACATGTGTGATAAAACTATACAGAAAAGCTTAGGGTGCTTAACACAAAATTCAGGGTAGTGTTTATTTCTGGCTGGTAGGGAGGAGGACTTAACTTAGGAAGTGCCAAGTACCAACTGATAAAATCCCATTTCTTAAACTGAATGAAAGGCCCACATGGGTTCATTTCATTTCTCTGGAAACTCTATCAGCTATAGACACTCTTTTCTATGCATTATACATTACACAATAAATTTTAAGTACTCGAAAAATATCCAAAAAGCTGCTTTAAATAATCTTTTTGCTCATCTCCCTGTTGAAAAAAAATGCGGCTGGTAGGTAAAAGTGGTCTTTTAATTGTAATAAAACAGTGCTATTAGCATCCGGTACTTTAAGGGCTGCTCTTTTAAAAACTGCTATTAAAAGTACTCATGCATACGCTATCTTATCCAATGCAATCAACTTGTTTTCCAAACAACACTCACGTGCAAAAGATGTGAAGGCTTTGCGCAGCAATACAAAATAGACTCTACTGATTTGCACCAACAGGCACCCTGCAGATGTTAACGAAATCCTTTAAATTTGTTTTAGCGACAGAAAAATTAAAAGGCGAATATATTAAGTGCTAAGTAAACATCGAGAAAGGCGAACTATCATTTAAACGGTACATCAGGTCTCCATCTCAAATTGCTTTAAGTTGCAGTCTGATGTGTCAAAAAGGATCTTTGAGCTTAAGGCAACTGTGGGACAAAACAGGAGATGTTAGATAGCTTAGATAGAAATGAGCTCTGGGCCGGGGGAAAGGAAGGAGAAAAGAACATCCCAGAACACAAGGAACCTGAGCTGTCAATCAACCAGAACTCAGGCCTGAGTTGTCAATCAAGCACAAAAAACACCCTTGGACAGGATATAAGATGGAAAAACAGGAACAGCGCCATTTTTCCTCTTTGGAATTGCCCCGCTCCCAGTTCTCGGGAGTGTACTATCTTACCTTTTACTTCACTAATGAAAATCTTGCTTATATCACGCTTTTTGTCTCTCATCACTTATTTTTCAGGTGACTAAGAACCAAGGTAATTCTTACTTCCCTTTTCCCGTTAAGAGAGACTCCAGCTAGGTACTTGAATGGCTTCAGGAAAATTTCACGGACTCAGTTTCCAAAAAAACAATAATATTCTAATACAAGTTTTTTTTTTCCTCTCATTTCCGCAACACCATTTGCAGGTATTTTTATGAGCATTCATTCTGGAATATTCCTAGCAAGGCAGGTATCAAATCCCAGCAGAAAACGCTCCGAAAAATCAGCAGCCACATGAGCCAGCAACAGATTCAAGAATCCTCCCCAAGTTTCCTTGAAACAGGTTATCTTCCACACCTAATTTCCCCTCCAGAGTCCTGGGGTGTGAAAAGCAACACAGGAAAGATAACTGGGGTGTTAAGGAGGAGTTCGCAAATCATATGAACAAAACTTAAGTCAGCTGGGACCTTTCAAAACATTCAGTTATCTAACCCCCTCATTTTGTGGATAGGGAAATTATATCTCAGAAAGAGGCGCACCTGCTCAGGATCTAACAAGCTATTTAAATTCATCTCTCCTAGTCCAGTGGTTTTTCCTCCACCCACTCCCAAATGCTTCAATTCGTTGCTAACATTAAAGTGAGAAAACCTGCACCTCTACAGTGTGGCCAGAATATCGGAGCTAGAAAGGCTTTTAAAGGCTTCGGGTAAGCACCTGTGCTCACAGGTGGGGAAAATAATGATAGAAAGTGACGCTGCTTCGGCGGTAAATCACCGACCCCCAACCACCGAGCAGGAAGAACTGGACAGGGAGACGAAAATCATTGGAGACCCAACTTCCCATCTACAGGAGGGCAGGTGTCAAACAAAAAAACCCACCAAAAACACAAAAAAACCTCGGAACCCTAGATTTCATTCAGCAAGAATCCGCGCTACCCACGCACAACCGGGAAGGGAGACGGGTTAACCCGGACAGCGGGTGGCGCACCACAGAGAAAGCCAAGAGGGGACAGGCACCGACTCCCGCCTCTCTTCGGCATGGGTCGGTGGGGTAGAAAGGGGAACCGTAAGGCTGCAGGGACTCCCGCGAGAAGAGGTACCTGAAGCTCGCGCCGCAGTTCCCCGCAGCACCCGCACCGGATCCCGACACCCTGCTTCCGGGGTTAAGTGGAGGCCGGAGGACTTAAATGGCTGGAGGGAGCCTAACGCCCCGCCCCACCCAAGCCCCGCCTCCGCTGCCCCTACGCGGAGGGCCGGGGTAAGTTCCGGGACGCCTAGCGTCACTAAGCAGCTGTTCTCCACTTCCGGACGCATCCTCGCCTTTTCCTTCGCTTTCGGGATTGGATCGAGATTTCCGCTCGTTTGATTGGCGGAGCGAGAGGCTGGTCTCCGCCGATTGGTGCCCGGGAAATCCGCCCCGGAGACGTCCTCGGGGCGCACTGTTTCAGTTGTCAGCTTGTTTCCCGCCGGCTGCCGGCCTAGCGTCGCGAACATGGCGGACGTGATGGAGTTGCCCAAGTCGCGCATCAACGCCAGCATGCTAGCTCAGTTCATCGACAAGCCCGTCTGCTTCGTGGGGAGGCTGGAAAAGGTGCGCGCGCTCTCCGTCTTGGGCTGCCTGGGGGGAGGGACCCCTTGACGGTCCGGGTGGCGGCCTAGGGTGGGTAACGGAGGATGAGGGAAGACAGAAAGTCTTATAGCATCACTGCGCTCCCGATTGCTCGATTTCTCACAAGGGAACTTTTTGCACACTTTTTAGCCGCTGCAGCCCTATTTTGGCGCTTCTTTTAAGGCGCGGAATCGCGAAGTTTTCGAATGTTCTTCGTTCTAAATTCTAGCGCCCCCACCCTCATTCGGTTTGTATTTACCAAAATGAAGTCATTATAGACACAATGCCCACATCTACTGATTTTTTTTTTTAGTTAGATTTGACAACTAGTCTGATTTTCTTGTTTCCTTCTTCTATGCAAATTCCTCTTTTCTCAAATCTCGTTTTCTCAAGAAGCTTTCCTATGAAACATTCTTTGATTGTCCTTTCCTGATACTTTGCATTGTTATCTTACCCTGTTTTCATAGCGGAGGCCCCCATCTTACTGGTAGAAACAGGCCCCATGTCTTGGATTCTGGAAACCGAGAAAACAGGAAAAGAAAACTTTATATAAAGAGCTTTTTTAGTAGTTTATTTCACATCTGCTTCTTGAGATGGGTGTTTTCCCACTTCATAGGTAGAGAAACTGAGTAGGAGTGGTGTATGGTTAAAAAATGCTCAAAGCCACAGCAAGTTGCAAAGCTGGCATTCAAACCAGATCTGACTGCACCCTTTGCAGCTGTCTCCCAGGAGTAAGAGCCAGGTCTTCTGACAACCAGTTCTCTCTACTTCCTCAGGCCTTATTTTTAAAAGTATACCTTCTGTGAGATATGTACTATTTAAATCACAGGTGCCAGTAGATCTCACTTTTAGATAGTAGGGACCCTCTTTAACTTATCCTTAGCATAGGGTTGCCAGATTTACCAAATAAAAATACAAAACATATTTGTGCTTAAAAAGGTACTGTTTATCTGAAATTCAAATTTAACTGTGGGCATCATTTGACCAGGTATGGTAACACAAGATAATATGAACCAGTTAAACTGTTCAAAAACAACTGCTTTGTGCACAGTAAGTTTGGGTCAGTCTGCTCATCCTTTGTCAAACTTTTAATTTTAAAGAGTTTGTTTATGTGGAGGTTTTTTTTTTTAATCATATGTTTCTTTTTTAGATTCATCCCACTGGAAAAATGTTTATTCTTTCAGATGGAGAAGGAAAAAATGGAACCATTGAGTTGATGGAGCCTGTATGTTTAAGTATTAATTCTATGTATATTATAGGTAATTTTTCATCTTATTTTGGCTGATGTTTCTGATTCTTGGGAGTGGATGTATAAAGGTCCAGTTTATCAGACTTTTCTGTCTCTAAAATCAAATTTTTGTCCTCCTCTTATTTCTCTTTACATTTCTAACCAATGATTTTTTTGGACTGTGAGTTTTTAATACATCCGTTAAATGTTGGATGACAATTCTCATTCTTTATGAAAGACTGGAAAATCACGTAAGAAAAATTTTGTTTAAATCACTTTTTCCTTCAAGAGTTTTACATTTTTTAAATTGTGTTTTCTATTTTTGTTTACATTTATTTTCAGTTGTCCCTTTGTTTTTACAGTTTATATTTATTGTACTTAAAAACATTTTCTTGGTCTTTTATGAAGACAGATCTGTGTGCTGTTTGGTTAATGCACACAGAACACACTGTACAAGATGTAGATAATAAAAGGTTTATTTCAGTGGATCCTTTTAAACAATTACTCCTTGTGGAAATGCTGGACATTAGCAGTATATTTAAGTGATTTTGTCTTGAACTTAAACATTTAGCTGTATTTTTGGACCTGAAGTCACTGCTAAAGGTAACAGGACTGGTGATAAGCTGACAGTAAGTACTCAAACATTTTTAACAATTTACAGTTTCATTTTTGCATTGATAAAGTTTAAAATTATTTTGTCACATGAAATGAAAGATTTGTAAACTGTTGAACAATTTTCCAAGTTAATTATCAACTGAAAATGTGATAACACTGAGTTGTCATTTTGTTCTTCATGTTAGCTTGACGAAGAAATCTCTGGAATCGTGGAAGTGGTTGGAAAAGTAACACCCAGGGCAACCATTATGTGTGCATCTTATGTCCAGTTTAAAGAAGATAACCATCCTTTTGGTAAATAAGGCATTCTGTAATTCATGTAATTAGTAGGAAAACAATTTTATTTTAACTTGCTATGTCTTGGTCTTGAGTCTCAATCCTGCTATGTTTTCAATTTCTATAGAATTTTCTGATCCCAAAGGAAAATGGGAGGACATTTTGGCCTACTTCTAAGTAGTGCTTGTGTATGTAGGAAACTCAGCAAAAATTAATATTTGTGGTAAGAGAAGTTAAAGTAGGGTAAACAAAGATAATGTTAATAGTTTTTTGCTTGATTTTAATACACCAATTGAAAGTACCAAATAATGCAGAACACCTAAAACACAACCAGGCAAGAACTGCTCCCTTACCATGAATGTCAAAATGAATGGTCTCCTATACCCTATGTCTTTCATTTTTTAGAGCCACAGTTAAATAAATATGATAATCCCTATCTCACTTTTAGAAGGTGGATTGTAAAAATAAGTTGACTTCTCAAAGGGAGAGAAAAGAGAAACAACTCTTTTAGATAATAATTCCTGTAACAACTTTCCACTGTAGATTAAATGTTTCCAAAAATGTTTCTTTCAGATCTTGGACTTTACAATGAAGCTGTGAAAATTACTCATGAGTTCCCACAATTCTTTCCTTTGGGGGTTGTGCAGTATGATTGAATTTGATGAAATTTTTGGAATTGGCAAATGAGCTGCACTGAAGACTATTTGAAGAGGCCCCTGGTATTTGAGGGAGAGATTCCTGTGGTTTTTTAATACTTAATTTGTTTTCTTGGTAATTTCATTTACCTAGCACTTTTAGATATTCCAGTATGCCATTTTTTTTTTCCAGTATGCCATTTTTGATGGAACTGGTTTATTGACAGTTCCTGGCATATGGTCGGATTAGATACAAGAACAAAGCAGTTGGCTGAGTTTAGTTTTCTGTTTTATTAATAAAGTTTAAATGGTACATACTGTTGATCACTTCATTCTTATTCTTTTAGTCATCTATTCAAGCACAAACTTGGAATTTCATAGCTATAAGGTCAAGACTTAGACCTAACAGATGAAACCCTGAACCAACTGTCATAAGAATTTACTTCCTACCTCATGAACCACACCATGTTACTTCCTTCCCTGACACTATGAAAGAATGGTTTTGATTTATTAAAATAGCAAACAGAATCTTCCATCTTCTGTAATTTGTGACTACCTATATTAGTGCTCTCCAGAGAATCAGAACCAATAGAATATATATGGATACATAAAAAGACTGTTAATGCAAATTGGCTTACATGGTTATTGAGGCTGAGAAGCCCCACGATCTGCCACATACAAGCTGGAGAACCAGGAAAGCCAGTGGTATAATACAGTGCAAGTCTGAAGGCCTGAGAATCAGGGAAGTTGATGGTATAACTTGCAGTCCAAGGTCAAAGACCTGAGAACTAGGAGGATACTGGTGTAAGTCCCAGAATCTGAAGACCTAAGAACCAGGAGCTCCAATGTCTGAGAACAGGAGATGAACATCCCAGCTCAAGAAGACAGAACAAATTTGCCCTTCCTCTGCCTTTTTGTTCTATTTGGGCTTGCAATGGATTGGATGATGCCCACCTACTTTGGCAAAGGCCATCTTCTTTACTCAGTCTACTGATTTAGATGCCAGTCTGTTCCAGAAGCGCCCTCACAGACATACCCAGTAACATTGTTTTACCACCTACCTTGGTATCCCTTAGCCCAATCAAGTTAACACATAAAATTGACCATCATGGCATCTCTTTCTCAGGATTTTAAAACTGAGCATGTACTTGGCCAAATAAGGGATACCCGATCATTAAAACAGTTGACAGAACCATTTTGATTATTTTTTAAATTCTTTTCAACTGTCATTATCCTTAGTATGAAATTCCTATTTACTTGTACTTCCTATCACCAAGTGACACTGAGGCTGGCAGGCAGGGATGTGGAAAGTGTAGGGTAATAATAAAGAGTCACTGGTGACCTGTATACCCGCAAGTTTTATGGCTTGACCCATTCTCTTCAGTGAGGAAATAAACTAATTCTAAATCCATTTAAGTTGTAAATCATACCAAGATATTTATTTTAAATTGATAGCATCTTCAATTTCAGCTTTCATCCCCAAATATTCTACAGATTACTTAGCAACACTGCCACGGCCACTCATAATAAAGCATCTTATTCCAGGAAGTAAAGACAGTCGAAACTTAGGTTTAGGAGGAATATCAGCCAATGTCAGTAAGTGTTGTCTCAAGTGCCAAAGAAGTGGGCAGGCCTCAATTGTGTTAACCTCTGAAAATTTAAGTCCTATTAAATGTTAAAGGTGCCCGGCTTGAAACCTTCCCTTGAACTACTATGTTTAGCAAACGGAACTAAATGACGGGTACCTTGCTCTCGTCAAGTCAGTCCTTTATACTAATGACTTATGGTGCCATTTCTCTAGCCCCAGCCTCACCTCTGAGCTGCTCAACATCTGCACCTGGATGTCCCACCAGCACTTTAGCTCAAATGAATACAGTTTGAACCGATGCAGGCCCCTGCCATGTGTTCCCTGACATTTTGGTGATTTTTTAAAGATATATGTATAATTCACATGTATAATCCTATCTGAAGTATGAAATTCAGTGACTTGCAGTATATGGAGTTGTATAACCATCACCACAATTTTAGAACATTTTCGTCACCCTGCAACAAAACCCTGTTCCATTTACCTATCATGGCCCAATCCCTAACCACCACCACGACCACCACTCACTCCCTAGGCCTAAGAAGCAACTAATCTACTTTCTGTCTCACTAGATTTGCCTGTTCTGGATGTTTCATATAGATGGAATCAAAGATGGTCTTTTGTGACTAACTTACTTATTTAGCATAGTATCTTCAAGGTTCATCTGTGTTGTACCATATATTAGTGCTTCATCCCTTTTTATAGCCAAAATGTATTTCATTGTATGGATGTATCACATTTTGTTTCTCCATCAGTTACTATACATTTGGGTTGTTTCCACCACTTAGCTATAATGAACTATGAACATTCATGTATAAGTTTTTGTGTGTACCTGTTTTTATTTCTTTTGGGTATATACCTAGGAGTGGAAATGCTGCTTCAAATGGTAAATATGTTTAACTTTTTGAGGAACTGCCAAACTTTTCCAAAGTGGCTGTACTGTTTTACATTCCCAGCAGCAGTGTTTGGGAAATCAGAGTATTTCTCCACAACCTCAACAACATTTATTATCTGACTTTTTGATTATAGCTATCCTAGTGGGTGTAAAGGGGTAGTAGTCTCATTATAATTTTAATGTTGACTTGTCTTGTTTCTTTTAAAGCTACTATAAGCCACTCCTCTGGCCAGAAAAGCTTGAATACCTCCAGCCCCTGTCACTGCCATTGCCATGATAAGTTCAGACAATTGTCATCTCTCACTTGAACAATTCAACAGCCCTATCTATATCACTGGCCTTACTGTTTCCAGCCTCTTCACCTAGCCAATAGAGTTGCAATAAACATCAGTTATAATCATCATACTATAAAGTTTAAAACCAAAAAAGTGTGGAAAGGGGAAAACTTCCTGTGAAGCTTACAGTAGAGAAACCTGGCCAATATTACCTTAATGAAGTGATAAGGTCAATATCACTAGTGGTGACATGCGGATATTATGTGCCCTCATGTAATAAGAAAGGTACTTCAGCTCTGTGGTATTTTTCAAAAACTCGTAAAGCTAGTCTAGTCATGAGAAAATATCAAGACATACCCAAACTGAAGGACATTCTACAAACCATCAGTACCCCTCAAAACTGTCAAAGTAATGGAAAATAAGGAAAGACAGCATCTCATTGAGCACAGACTAAAGAGACATGACAACTAAATGGGATGTGGGATCATGGATTGGCTTGTGGAGGAGAAAAAGGACATGAATAGTAAAACAGGTAAAATAGGATAAAGGCTGGAGTTAACAGTAATATACAAGTGATGGTTCCTTAGTTTTGACAAATGTTAACATGATAATGTAGGGTGATGTAGAGAGAGATAAAGTGGGTGAGGGGAGAAACCCTACTACCTTTGCAACTTCTCTGTAAATCTAAAATTACTCCAGAATTTTAAAAATGCAAAACAAACAAACAAACAACCCACCACCTTCAGAGGCCCCCCAGTGACAGATCAGGTCTATATTTCTAATTAGTAGTTCAGATCCTTCACAATCTGACCACATCTCACCTCAGTCCTAAATCCTACTCTCCCCTTGAGACTACCCTCCAGCACTGACCTGCCATTGCCAGAACACACAAGGCCATTTAAGGTCTGGATGCTGTTGAAATTTGCTGTTTGCTCTGATTAGACTGTCTGTTTCAGAAATGTTGCCCAAAGGGAAACATCTCTAAGCTTTCCCCAACTCGGGCAAGCAGAGTTAGGTACTTTATATTATATTCCTCTCATCACACTTAACTTGCTCATAATCTTTCTTTTCAGATATATATATATATATATTATATATATATATTATATATATATATATATAATTTTCAGATATATATATTATATATATAATTTTCAGATATATATATTATATATATATATAAATTTTATATATATATATAAAATTTTTATGTATTCTTTAACATAAAAAAATCAGAAATTTTTCCTGGTGTCCCCGCAAAGAAACTGCTATGGATTGGTGAACAGCTTTCTAGAACTTTCTCTACATAAACTGTCTATAGGCCCTCAATATACTGTTCTGCAACATGCCTTTATCCTTTAGTAAGTCTTGGCAATTGAGGTATCTCATCCTTTTTAATGGTTGCAAAATATCCATTGTACTAAGCATTTCCTAATTTATTTAACAAGGCCTCTAATTAGTCTTCTCCACTAAGAAGAGGTCCTTATTGATGAAGAACCTTTAGTTGAAAAACCTGTCCTACTGGTATTTCCCAATGCCTAGCATAGTGTATGAATAAATTAATCCATCCAGCCTGGTTTTAGAAGCCACAAAGCTGAGAGAAGTAATGAAGGTCTGAACCATACTTCAGTAGGTGACAGAGAATAGGAGGCCAGGAGTTGAGAAAATACTGTAACGGATTCCACAGGACTCAGCAACGATGCTAGAAGTTAAAAAGAGTAAGAACCAGGGATGAGGTCAACTGGTGAGGAGGCAGTAAATTCACCTCAATACAACTTGGAAATATTTGATGGGCCCTAAAGTGAAGATGTCCAGAAATGTTTGGAAATGCAGGACTAGACAGAGATTTGAGAGTCAACCTGCCTAAAATATTTAAAGTAGAGTTTAAGAAATCTACCAATCCCTTATCTGCAATTTCAAAATCTCTCACAGTTTGAAAACCATTTTTCCTAAATTTGGGGCAAATTTCATTTGGCAACAAAACCTGATAAGAATTGCAGTGAAGCTACTTATAGTCTTTATCCCACTTCTTATAAATACTCGTGCTTCAGTGCAGAAATATTAACATGTTTGATTAGAGGGTGCTGCCCTTCTGGGAAGGGTGCTTCATGACATGGTAAATTCACCCTATGACTTCTAAAATCCAAAAATTCTGAATTCTGAAGCACATCTAGCCCCCAGAGTTTCAAGTGAGGATTGTGTTCCTAAATCAGGTGACAGCATAGGAGGGAGAAAACCACAGGACCAATGACAGAACCTGGGGTGAACTGTGCACGAATAGAACAGCAGTGGGAGAGTGACTGAGTCAGGAGAGAGGCCCCAAGGGTGCCTGACCCTAGTAAGCACTCAATAGACATTTATTCACTGAAAGAATAATGTGAAAGGCAAAGAAAGAGAGTTTCAAAGAGTAGTCAATGATGTTGAAAGCTCAAAGAACAACTGAAAATATGAACGAGGATAAAGCACTGACATTACTAACATACATCACACATTTCTAAAAAGGACTAGGCTACAAAAACAAACAGGGAAAACACATCAAAAAAGGAAATGGTAACTACGAAAA